TGACTTGGCAGAGGAGTATGAAGGAGATCACGAGACGCTTGGGTGCTGTCGGTGCTACTCGCCTTCCAGGATGGGGACCGCGTGATCCTCACTGTGCCTGGTTGGAGACACTACACAATATGGCCGCCAACCGATGTCAGTGGCGTTCTTGTAGTCAGTTTCTATCCAGATTGCCTGAGTGAATGTCTGGAGGTGTAGGCACCTCGGAATGATTGTGTTAAGCTAGCACTAAGTCCCTTTCCCGTCCACCTTTACTCTTTTCTTTACAATAAGGCTTTCAAATAAATCATGGTTGCACGGCAGTGAAGCATCAATGTTGAACACTGGTGTCATGCTGTCGATGATGATGATGATTTCCAGGGTTATGAGATGATCAGAGTACTAGTTCACTTAAAGAATTGCTGACGTATCGCTTGCCTCCAAGTAGGTCACTCTGATGCTGTGCAATCCAAGTTTAGGTGGATGCTATTCACAGAACAAATGTAACGCAATTCTACGGTGGAAGTCAGCCCACACTCTGAAGCCGTCCAGAGCTATTCGAACTCATGTTTCACAATTCCAGTGAGGATCAATGCCCAATATTTCAGGCCAAAATGAAGCTGAAAATTTCGACCTTACCGGTGAACCATATGGTGTAACTCGGTTCCATCACGGTGCTGTATATGTCACAGTATTTTGTCGTACTTATGAGAGGTATTCATTCAACTTCATCTCCGTTGCGTAGTGGACAACAAGAAAGCATTTTCTGATAATATTTTGTTCGCATGAATCACCTCCTTCAAAAGGCTTTCACAAATGTTTTAATGTTTTAATCGCAACGCTGTCCAGTCTGGCAATTTTGTGGAATATAGGTAGCTCAGGTTGTTGGTCTGTTCGTCGAACTTGGCAGTTGGATTGCAAACGTTTCATCACCAACTGAGGTGACATATTCAGTGTGGGGTTGAATGGGTCCCACTGCCAAGCTCGGCGAGCAGACCAATAATCAAGCTATCCTACCTTTCGTGACACAACAGTTTAGAGTTCAAATAGTGTTCAGAGGTGGCAGGCTCGTCAGACATCTGTGCAGTGTTACCTGACCTTCGGCATTGAGTGACTTCACTAACAGGATAAACTCTTGACAAAAAGAATCACACTGTTGGTAAATACGGAGAGAAACGTAACTTCTAGCTGCAGTTTTGGAGTTTTGCGGGATAAGTATTTTGTCCATAGTCACACCACTCTCGTTTGAACGGTTACCCTCATGTTCTGGCGTAATTATTCCACACCAAAGGGGAACACTGGACTCGGGTTTCGCTCTTATTAGAGCTCATCAGCAGTGCATATCCAATGGTCGCGCCGTTCGCCTGTTCAGACATGATAATTATGATGCGTCCAACGTACGTCGGTGGAGTAGTGGTTACACGCTCGCCTCGCACGTCAGATGTCCGGGGTTCGAATTCCGGCACGGCCAATATGTACTGCTGATGAACCCTATTAGGAGCGAAACTCGAATCCAGTAACTGTCAATGTTTGCTAAAATGTGCTTCAAACGCATTACGAACTCGATACGTTAATCCTTGTGTTTTGTTTCGTTTGCTCTTTTAGCCAGAAATGAAGCTCACCGTGTTGAATCTCATCAAATTACTCCGTCTTATCTGCTCCTATTCAACGCACTATCGAGCGTTCACGAACATGACAATACTTTTCACGAAGGTAATGAAATATATGAAGTATTTTGGTCATATTGAATGGCTCTGATAATTCCGGACAAGGCGTTACAAATATCTGTGGATGTTGGATAGGAGACGGTTTAGCACAACAGTACGGTTTTACTTTGCACAGGGATAGAGCAGCAGTTCCGAAGAAGAACCACCAATCCACAACAGGGACTCATTTACTGCAATCAATTTATGAACATCAGCTGGGCGCTTCTACCTAATCCGGTTTAGGCGATTTTTCCCAAGTGTCTTACCCCCTTCTGAAACGATACGAGTTGGTACAAGAGACCTGGTAATATGAAGTACATCATTATTGCAGCCATTTATTGTTTGAGTGCTTGTGAGTCTTGGTGCAAGAATTTCAAGTAGGGAACTGAACTCTTTTGGGTCAATTCAAATGGCCCGATTGGATCAGAATTGCTGAGGGGTTATACGTAGAAGAACAGTGTTAGGAGGACCACACTGCATCGTTTGACTAGATTTTTTCTTGTGGGAGTGAAATGCCGATGCGTAGCATTGGTGTCGCTGTCAACGGGTATCCGTTCGCAGTCCGACGCCACGTCTTGAAAGCGCAGCTGGCATTGAATCATTCAAAATTGTACGCAGACATCAGAAAACGATTCAGGCTCTACGCCGACTCCCACACACTACTGACAGCATAGCATATGCTGTCGAAGTTAAAATCCCCGGTTGTTCGATTATGCTCTGTGGTTCGGTAACATTTATTTCTTATCAAACATTTATATTTTTGTAATGCACTACAGTTTCCATCACCTTATGCTCTACTTGAAACCAAATTACACGAAATTCGCGAAATACACTCATTTGCAAATAAATTTGGTTTTTTGAGAGGCTTATGTGGAACCCAGCTGAATCTCTCGGTTTTGATGTTTCCAGGCGACTGAATGTGCTGCACTAGGCCGCCTCATGTTCCAGTCGCTACGATATTCGAGATATCGTGATGCATATATATATTTGTGATGCACTACTTATGAGGTTGCTGAAAACTCTTCGACAGCCCACGACCGGTTTCGTCCGGTTGGCCTGGAAACATCAAATCCGAGAGATTCAGACGGATTCCAGGTGAGCCTCCCGAAAAAACCAAATTACTTTGCAAATGAGTGTATTTCGCTAGTTTCATGTAATTTGGTTTCAAGTAGAACATAGGTTGCCCCAAGAAGGGCAAAGCCGGTCGTGGGCTGTCAAGGAGTTTTCAGCAACCTTATGAGTAGTGCATTACAAAAATACAAACACAATGCAGTTAGAGAGAGTGCTTGGAGGGGACTTGAACCCATGACTTCTCGCCCACTGGGTTAGCGCTCCATTGGTAGAACTCTCGTCCATAAAGCGAGAGGTTGCGGGTTCAAGTCATGTCCAAGGACCCTATCTTTTCGTTTACATCGTGTGTGTTTGGGTACATATACAATATTTCCCGTCTCTCCACATCATCTCCTAAATTTCGATAACAGGCTGAATGTAGTCAAATGGTATGCATGCGAAGGGGATTGGTGTGTTCAGAGAGTGAGATGAAGTGATACTTGGTCATATACGTCAACTAACCGGCTGTTATGACAAGCCACGACGTAAGGGTTACAGTCTTCTAAATTCACTAGGGTAAACTCATCGAATACCTTAAGTCGTGTCGGTTTGCTTTCTCGGGGCCTTGAATAAACACCCCGTTCAGCTGGAAATCGATAAAACCCATGGGGTGCTGTTTTCATGGTAGTGTTGTTTCCCCGATTAATGTTCTGAACAAACCTGAAGCCATAAACTTTTGTTGGCCCATTCAGCTGTTAATCATATTCGTCGAGTGCCATCTTCCCCATATTTACCCCTTCCGTTTGTCACGGATCGTTCTCGAATCCAAGAAGCTGTCCATACTAGCTTCAGTTGTCGATTTATCTCCGTTCAGTGCAAACCGGTATCCTCTCTTATTCCATTTACATAGGGTGTCCCAAGAGCTATCTGTTGATTTGACAGACAGAGTTTTTCAAAAACAGACAAGCACAGCGGTCTGATAAGTGTGACAGGATAGGATAGAAGAATTTGAAAGAAGCGCGTTTCCAGTGCATGTTGTTATATCACATGACCTGCTAAAAGTAGTCTGTCTGGTATTTTTAAAGTGCATTCTGTCGTAAAAGACTGGTGAGAGTAACTAGGTTGATACTTCACCTGTGCCACACTGCTATGTAGAGAGGTCTTCACATTTTTCTCCACCACCACAATTCTCCATCATCCGTCAATCCCACTTACTGAAGTTTGGCTTGCGGTGGGAAACGCCGCGATGGTACCTGACTTTGATTACCTCAGCCTGAAGACTGTTCACAGCACCTCGGAACACATAGACTCGTGGAGGGCAGGCAGACTAACTTCACTTCTCATAATTCGTCCTATTCTAGGGCGATTTGGTAGAAGTTTCTGAACACTTGTTTATAAATCTCGCTGTTTTGTGTGCAGTCGATTGTTAGAGTATTGTGACTAGTGTCTGTCTGTAATGGTGGACTTAAGATAAGGCCGAAAGACTAGCTTCTCTGTTCGACAGAGATTTCACACTCTCAAGAAAACCAATCTATGATGAATAGCCGAGAATTACTGTACAGGTGCGTGCATCAGCTTACATCTAACTAAACTTATGCAGTTTTGTACCCACGACCTTCCCACCACCGTTTGGCAACAAGCAGCTGGTCAGCAGTGTGATTAGCTCTCACCAAGACGAGACTAAACGCCCCTCATCCTTCATTCACGGTCACGTGTTGAGTGGCTCCTCGATTGACTTCTCACCTATCTCAGCTACTTATTGATTAATAATGATATGAGGAGGTTTTGGTAGTTTATTTATTTATGTCTCAGTACTGTTATTATTATTATTATCAAACATTGTTCTACGATGTAGTTCACACAACGATCTTCTTGAACGTTGCACATCTGGAGCTGTTCTAGAGTCCTTCCAGTGCAGTGAAACGATGGCTAGGTTTATTCGTCCCTCTAGGGACTCTCGTCATTTATGAAACGCTTCAAGCGTATCAGAGTAAGCAAATCTACTTTTTTATTTGATGTGGGACCAAGAAGCCATTCATTCTGCTCTGGATAGTTCAGCTCAGTCATATTTGATAATCATCTTTGTTCACCTCATACGCCGGTCGATTAGTTGGTCCTTTTTCAGTTGAACGAAACCTCCAAACACGTCAAATCAGAACCGCCATGTCCCATGGTTGCCACACAACGAATGACTTACCGCGACCTGACCGAGCAGTTAATCTAAGAATAACTGGGTCAAACGGGATTGACGACCAGATATTGGGAACAGTGGGAGTCAGTGGGAGAATTGATGTATTGGCGGGAAAGTTACCACCGTTTATAGTGCGCCCATGAATGAAAAACCCAAGTATTCTGTGATCTTTTAATGTTTGGTCATGCTGAGCGCCATCTAAACACGATCGTTCAGCTGTAGAACCCTTTCGGTGCCTAACTGCCATGCCACCCGAAGGTTGCACGAGGGATGGGATGCTGGCAAGTTGCCCAAGCCTAGACAGGGGAAGTCGAGAGGCAGGGGTTCGAACCACGGACCTTTCGGACAGTAAATTCGCGCTCTTACCAGTTGGGCCATCAGTCTCTCATCTAAACACGATATCTCTCATCATTTGAGATGAGCAAGGTCAAGCAATCAGTTTGTCTACTCTAAAGCGTTCCTTTGTTCGAACATTTAGAAGGCAAATGTTTCCTCATCAGTCGAGATGAAAGTGCGCTAAGGTCGGCATTTGCAACCAAATTGCCCAGCTCAGAGAACAAACCAACAACCAGGACAAAGATATACCTGCCAACGACGCCAATCGTTATAATGAAAATGGGAGTCGCGCTTCACTCATTTACACGGTTGTAGAAGGGTTAGGAACTTGGACACAGATCAAAGGATAGACAACCGACGTGTATTCGAAGTCTCCACCTTCCGGACAAATGCTCCACATGCCCAGCTGCCGTGGACACTCTCTCACATACTTGTCTTCACACTGAAATAAGTTTTAGATGGTTGGACAACATCAAATCTTGCTAGCTGGAATGTGAGGAAAGAGGCTGTATACAGGTTCAGGCTGAGAGAAAGGAGAGTAGAACGGAACGATTGCAAGTATGGTGATCGGCTGGATAAGCCCATAAACGAACCCAGCCTATGGCATGCAAAAGCAGCTATAAAAATGATAAAAAGTGGTCTGAGGTTCATGAATATCAACCTAGTTGCATGTTCAAACTATTTCACAAACTGAACCAGAGCGAATTCCACACGCCGAATATTTTAAGCGTCCTAATCGACACACTAGCTCTTGTCTACTGAAAAAGCCGCCTATGAAATATGAACGCCTTAGTTTTATTTTGGTTATGTCAGATTTACTGACAAGTTCAATAAGGGGATTTGCCAACTTTTAACTTTTATCACCTCAAACTTGCGTGCTCTCAACCATAAAACACAATGAAAACGTAGAAGTAATTATCAAATTCGCCAAACTTATTCTCAAGTCTCTCTTTGGGACACGGAATAGTTGCATATATGGACTGCTTTCCAATAGCAACTTAACCATGTTTCTGTTTAGCTGAGTGATTTCCGACGTGACCTACAATTTCCAATTTTTTTCTCTTCTAGATCACCAACCAAATGGTAAAGGGCTGTGTCGACTACCTCACTGAAAAGGGCACAACGTCAATATGGGACCAACCTGTGGAAGTAATTTTGACACGACTGAACGACTGCATTGCATTAAACGAAGCTTATCACGCCGCGTATCACAAAATATCTAGTGAGAGCACAGAAGGCATATCAGACAACAAATTCCGTTATTCGGAAATTCAAATATTCGGGGCTTTTGACGAATTCACTGAACGACTGAATGCACTGAAGTTCATCCTCAACACTTTTAAGCACTATTCAAGCATTGGAAAATTGGGGCTTGAACGTGAGTTGTACTCAGTGATTATTGATTGGCTATCTGATCGATACTTCAACCGTCTATTCGGATTGGAGAATTTTCAGCGTGTTTAGTGACAGTTTATCGATCACCGATGTTGAGATTTCTAGGTGCTACACGTTTCCTATTTTACTGAGACTGAATAGCATGTGTTTCTGATGCCGGTCTTTTCAGTATGAGTGAGGGAGCAGAGTGAAGGTAAATTCACTCTAAGCGAAACATGCGAGATTCTGACGATATCATTCCTTTTAACTTAAGCTCCATTTGGAGTCGAGAATTCCAGTTTCAACTATTGTGACTGAGATCTATGACTCAGAAACCTAACCAACATTTTCAGACTGGCATAAAAATGCGAACAAAACGCATGGCAGGATGTAGAGGAGGATGTGGAAAGGTAGAAACGTCCAACACAAATGCCTGTTATCATTTGTTTTATCATTAAGGTGGCAGATAACCCCAACACAGTAGTTTTTTGAGTAAATCGATCCTAACCGCATGAGCGACGTAAGAACGGAATGAGCTCAGTACCACAAAAAGTTGGTAACGTCCACAGCAGCTTGTGAGGACCACTGTGAAGCTAGCCACTCACAATTAAGTTAGAATCTTTGAGAAGGAAACCAAATGGAATCTTAGCCTTTCGAACCGACAGAGTCATATACCGTATCCGGTTGGCCCTGCTGTGGCACTATACAACGATTGCCATCGAATCAAGCGTGTGAGAAGCGCTGTTGTCTATACTTGCCACCATTCTCGTTTATTTTCGGAGAACATGGTTACACGTAGAAAAATGTGAGCCACATACAAGAGAACATAAAAATGACCGCGTTCCACACGAACACACGTCCTCACAAGTTTTGCCAATAAGGTCAAATGAACTTCAGGATGTGTAAGCAAATTTGACATGAAAACATACGTGTAAAGAGCAACAAGTAATGAAAGGAAGGGCACAACTCGATGCTTTTCAAGGCACAGTAAACGCGAGCACAATCAACTCTAGCAGATCAGGCAAAAACTGTCCGCCATGCAGGGTCAGGTGTGAAACCCATCGACAGGAAAGAACCTTCAGCGCTTAAGCGTCGTAAACACGTGGGCAACTGCAGATCATCGATTGTGATTCTAGGAAATCCCAGCCCAAAAACCGTCTCAACAGCTCTAGGATGAGAGATACCTCGTTCAGAAGTGATTTTGAGTCTGTGAATCAGAAAGTCGACATCATGGTTGACGCCACCCAGTGCTGAGGTGATAGCAAGAGAACATTCGTCGGCGCCATACTTCTGCTTCTTCTCATTCCACGCTGGTTGTACGACAGCGGAGCATTGGTGTTGAACACTGATGTCATTCTGTCGATGAATATGATTATGATGAGCATTCCACATCAAAACGTTTTCTTGCATCCAGGAGACAGCGGAGATTGGTGTTGAACACTGATGTCATTCTGTCGATGAATATGATTATGATGAGCATTCCACATCAAAACGTTTTCTTGCATCCAGGACTATACTGATGTTGCACGACAATCAAATAAGGCTTGCTAAAAGACGTTGAGACGGATGTTCTCAATACCTAGAAGACGTGTATTCATGTTCGCCCACAGATGAAAGGAAGAAGGCCTTTGCTGTGGAGTTATTTACTAGAAAATACCAACTGAACAGTTACAGACTATTGGACAGGGAAGCAAAACTTGTCTGCAAAAACTGAATATCCATCTTCTCTTTGAACGCGTCTTCCTGAACTTTCCCGGACATTCATTGAATGTTGCTCAAATCCAAGCAAATGCTACGAAGCGACTCCACAAATTCCGCAATAGATCTTACTTTTCAAGCGACGCAAAGCGCATTTACGGGAAAACATACTACGCGCATGCCTCCCCCATCCGTAGGATCACTGTTACACTGAGGCATGATAATTCAGCTGCCTCCAGCTTGCGCCGGTGGAGCAGTAGTAAAGCGCTAGTCTCGTATGTCAGTTGTACAGAATTCAACCCCGGGCAGCGCCAACGACACGCACCGCTGCTAAGCTCTAATAACAGTGAAACAGTGGTTCAGTGCATCTCCCGTTTGATGTAGATAGACCAGAGTAACTGCTCTGGTGCAGGAGAATGTGATTGTAGCTAAACACCATATCGAGGTTAAAAGCACTCGCTGAAGAGTAACGAAGTAAAGCGTTTAACAGAGAAGTAGTTACCAAACAGCCAAACGGACGGAGAATTGTAAACTGGAGTAAAGGAGTACACTAATTTGCAAATCAATATGGTTTTCACGAGAGACTCAACTGATTTTCTCGTTTATGATGTTCTACAACTGAACGTGCTGCACACAGGCCGCCTCATGTTCCACTTCGTACGATATTTGAGATATCGCAGTATATTTCCATAAAGGAAACTACTCACAAGGTTGCTGAAAACTTCTCGACAGCCGACGGCCGGTTTCGGCCTTCTTAGGGCTCATCAGNNNNGAGTTTCCATCAACCTTATGTTTTACTTTAACTCAAATTGCACTGTTTTCGGGAAATACACTAATTTGCGAATCAGTATGGTTTCCACAAGAGACTCAACTGAATCTCTCGTTTATGATATTCAAGTAGAACATTAGGTTGTCGGAAACTCTGGAACTGAGCCAACCTGATGAGCCCCAAGAAGGGCGAAACCGGTCGTGGGCTGTCGAAGAGTTTTCAGCAACTTTGTGAGTAGTTTCCTTCATGGAGTAGAAGAGGTTGCAAACTGCGGTTCCACAAATCAGAAAACACTTTATGTAATCACCGGAAAAGAATGGATGACACACAAGTTGGTCCGGCGAGCTTGGATGAGAGACTTTCGGAATACGATACAAATGTGGTCGAGGATCACCTGACCTATTGCCAGCTTCGTTTTATACTGTGGCCATAAGGATGGCTTGGGATAACACCAGTGATTTGAGAAAACGTAATGTGCCCAAAGTTCTATTCGTTGACGTATGAAGTCGAGCAGTACCTATTCAATCCGCTGTTACCAGTTGGAACTCGTAGTCGCAGGCTTTCGGTTTCTATTCTGTCTCTGTGTTGAGGTTCACTCAAGTTTCACCCTCACATTCAATTAAACTGGTCACGAGTCAGCAGTCTTGAAAGCGACCTTGAAGACCATAACCGTTGAGTGAAAGTTGCATGAGTTTTAGCTTAGTTTGATCGCAGCAGCTGAGCAACCACTCAATAAAGCATACCACCTTAAAGCAGTATTTTTTTCGTATTTCAGGGAGAGATGTGCTACTTGATCAGTTGGATAAATTGCGAGGAGATATCACAAGGAGAAACTATGACTGCCTATCGATCGATAACACTCGGTTTGCTCGGGACATGGCTAATTTCACAGAAGGCGTCAGAAACTTGGAGGTAAGAGCGCTATTTACCCCACTTTCCTTGGATTGAGTTAATATCAAGTCAGTGAAAGCAGAACAGAAAGGAGTCGAGGTCATTCGACGAGTTTATGTCGAAGCCAAATTGTTTATCGCCACCTAAACACCACGTTTTTGTCGAGTGCGTTTTATGTTAGTACCGGTACAATCACATCGAAAGTGGCAAGTGACCTGGACTGAGGCAACGGCGGGGGAACACAAGCAGATCAGTTTCAACACGACAATGAATCTGTTTCAGACAATAAAGACGGTTAAGCGTTCAAACTACTAGCCGGGAGGTCGCGGGTTCGAGACTCATCGGAGTTTCGTTAGATGCGCACTGCTGATGATTCCCAATAAGGATGAAACAGCCATACAGTGCTTCTGGGCTTTTCAGTATAGATTGGCTTCACTTATAGGACGATATCTCCACAAAAATTCTAAATCTCCTCACACTACCAACAATATACAAGTAGGTCAGTGGAAGAACAAAATTCACCCGATGAGTGAAACTTCTATCTGAGAAGTGGTTGCTCGAGGAGCCAATCAACACGTGTGACCGCGTGATATGGATCCCGTGATTGAAGGATGAGCGGCGCTATATCCTGTCTAAGTGCGAGTTAATCACACTGCTGATCAGCCACTCGTGGCCGAACGGTCAAGTGTTCAAGCTACTAGCCGGGAGGTCGCGGGTTCCAGACTCTTCGGAGTTTCGTGAGTTAAGACGTAACGGAGACTTTGGATCACTTTGGATAAATGAGTTCGTCAATCTCTGACAAACTGACCGTACATCCTTCCAACAGTTCAGACAACTTTATCTGAGTAGTCATTGCTCAAGAAGCCTGAAAACACCTCGTCCCGTACTACGAACCTATACCTGGGAAAATGTGGTCGGATCCCTAAAATCTCAGCGACAATAAAAGCATTTACTAAGACTCATCCAGTAGGTTAAGAAAATTGAACACATGATGTTATGCTTGATGGCTTTAGGCTGTTTCCCAGATAACCTCGTGTTGAACAGCTAGAGGACCCAAATGATCGTGCAATGCAGTCTGACTAACCGCTAGGAAGTCTTCAGCTCGTTAGACTAAGAGTTAACCTAATCAGTGTATGCAGCTGAATTTGGTTGGCGCTATATCTTGTATGCTTACAGGCCTAAAAACATTTTGATTGGGCAGATATCACCCCAAAGTAGCGTTTAAGTCAACTCAGACGTCTGTGTGTTTGAATACACATTGAAAGTCATCGGCTGTCTACGGTCCAAATTGCTTCAAGTTGTCAAACGTTTTCGGAGCCTCTTTTCTTCAGTGTAGAGAACTGGAGTAAGACAAAAAGCGGTCTGAAAAGTCCATCCGGCGGTCACTGAATGGGGCCATTGTGACCATATTTTGTAGTGTTTACCACTCAAGGATTCAGGCAGTGTCGACTGAGAGTCTAAAAGACGAGTGGGCATCGTATCGTAAGTTAATCAAACTGCCAATCAGCTGCTCGTAGTCTGTCGGGATCGAACCGCAGGTCCGGATCTTCCTAGAAATTCGTAAGATCTGACCTGCTGCGGATTCTCAAGAGGTGCGGAACTGCCTCTGATGGGAAGAAACTGTCATTGTAGCTATATTCTGTTCTGCGTTCAACTTGCTTTCGGTCATCTAAGATGGGAACTCACTTCTCCAACTAAGTTTTTCGTAACCACCACTACCAATTAAAGGCAGGCGCAAAAATATTGTAATACCTATCAACTGTGCGTTGTACTTGCTAGCACTGAACCCAGTCGAAATGTGGTCGTACTACCCAGTGCTAAGGCCGTGATCTCAAAGTAAGCAATTGGTCAATTAGCCCAAACGCACGATCTAGCTGTCCTATCTGACAGGTAACGTATAGTCTAATTCACCAACGGACGCTTAGTAATAATTGCGACGGAACCGAATTCTACGAACTTTGCCTGAGTTTTCGAGAAATACACTTATTTGCAAATCAATTTGGTTTTCACGAGACTCAAGTGAATCTCTCGTTTACGATGTCATAAACAAGGGATTCATTTGGGTCCCTCGTGAAAACCAAATTGATTTGCAAATAAGCGTATTTCTCAAAAACAGTCCAATTTGGGTTCAAGTAGAACATGAGGTTGACGGAAACTTGGGGATTGCACCTACCTGATGAGCCCCAAGAAGGGCAAAACCGGCCGTGGGCTGTTGAAGAGTTTTCAGCAACTCTGTGAGTAGTTTCCTTTATGAAAATATTCACCTGAGTTTGTTCAGTAGTCGCAATGGGGCAGTGAACAATATATTGAATTAGACGTGGGCAGACATTATAGATAGGTAGACCGTGGTTCTATAAGAAATTAACAGTGAATCGCGAGGAAAATTAAAGAAAGACTTGCGGCTAGATTGAACCTCAGGCAGTTAGCAGCACGGGATGGCACAGAAAGGGCAGTGTGCTATCGGACAAATTAAACGGGTAAAAAGTGGGACAAGTTTTCAACAACAAGCCCAGAAATGAATGTGAACAAATCGACTAAAGAAAAGCGGATGATATTGAGTCGACTTTGTATAAAATAGAAATAAATAAAAATAGAAATAGAATAGAACTTGAACAGTCACCGGAAGGGTAATGAATTAGCCTGAGGAATAGGGAAACAAATAACTACGTCACGTAATTAACAGTGATACCAACTGAAACGCCAGGTGTCCATCTCATGTCACGGCTGTATTCCCGTGTCATTTTGTGAACCCATTGTCCAATCCTAGCACATAACTGTCTTTTAACAGAAAAAAAATGAGAAAATTGGCGAAATAATAGCCTGAATTCAGTGTGAGTTTATTTTCCATTCTTCCACACAGCAAAACATTGAACTGGCATTGACGGAGCTTTTGCAACACGGGGGCTCTGTCTACCTGAGCATGTTGCGGATGCTACAGATGGACTCCACTGAACTCACGTTTCCAGGACAATTCCAACGATACAAACGCCTTTTTGCGGCTTTTCGAAACGAGATGGAGAATATTGCTGCCACTTACACGCGCCAATGCGAGGATCCGCCGCTGGACCGAGATATGCCTCCTTTCGCAGGTCGGTTTCTCCCTGTTTTTTGTTCAATTCTAAATGCCTCACATTGCGTCTCTGATAACTCCAGCCACGACTGGACGGAAGTGTACCTACCATCTGCCAAAATTACTCAGCTTTTTGACTTACCCCTGACAGGTTCAAATTTCATCATCATTGACAGCACGACGTCAGTTGTCAATACTAAAACCTCGCTGCCGTAAAACTAAAATATACTTGAAAGAAGATTGGAAGTTGATGGTGATGACATACCGAAATCATTCTGAGGTACTTACAACTCCAGACACTCATTCAGACACTCCGGATAGAGACTGACAACAAGGACGCAACTTTATCTTGCGGGGTTCCCAAGGGGGGATCACTCAGACGATATCCTGGAAGGCCAGTCTCCCCGGCAGCAATAAGACTTTTGGTAATCGCCTTCATAAGCCTCAACCAGATCCCAGGCTAACCACATTTCTGCTTGCGTTCCTTTGAATCAGGTACTTTAAACAATGCTTTTCGTTCATTTAATACTGAACAGAAGTCTATCAATATGGTACTCAATCATTATATCAGCGTCGCCGTTAACGAAAGCCCGATCCATGATAGCCGCGAGGTAGAGGTTGAAGAGAGCGGGGTCAAGAACAAACCTCTGTTCTACGCCAGTGAGGAATTCGAAATCACCTAAATTCTATCTACTGACGAGTCCACAACCAGATCGGTGACAATCTACAACCCAGCCGATTATATTGGTTGGTGTTTTCATACTTCTTTGCCAGATCCTACACCGTTGGCCTCTCAGTTCTCCCACTCAGTGCAGTGCTTGACGAAAAGAGCTCTGCGGCCACACGGTATTCTGCGAAGTGTATGTCATAAACCGCCTAACCTACGAAGAGCAAAAAGTTCATTCCTAAGACCATCTGCCGTACCTCTGCAATGTTAATAAGTGGCCCTCGCAAGTTGGACCCCCTGTCTGTACTCCACGCTACTTTGTTTGGTAAGCTCATGGATACGAATCCAATCAAACAGACAAGTTTCATTTGCCATATCGTGGCTTACGTAACATCGCGACCACGGCTAAAAAACACTATGACTTCCTAATTTGTCTACTGCCTGCTGTTCCGAGGGCACAGGCTGCTCCTAACCATCTTACTGGGTCGATGCTGCACCTAGCTTGTCGGCTATTCCGACTCCGTTAACATAGGCCATGAGACTGCACAGTTGGCGGACAGAGACAGTGATTATCCGTGCTGTCTTCTTATCCTTCCAGTGTCACATGAACTGTAAGGGGGTATCCTAACCCCGATCACATGAGGCTCTGGTGCGATCTCACCCTCAATTCCCCAGGCCATAGCAACCGGTTCGTGGCTCAATTCTGCTTTATCGCGCTGGGGGGGGGCTGTTGAACCGATGTCTGACCAAAACGTTGTGTTAAATTATCGAAACTCAGTTCCATGTTCAAGAGGGTGGTGCGACGTAGTCTGGTTGGATGACTCTGTGCTGTTAAACTCAACTCAAGAAGCCTCCAGTACACTGTGACCAAAACTTGTGTTCGTTGTGATCGAAACTCAGTTCCATGTTCAAGAAGGTGGTGCGACGTAGTCTGGTTGGATGACTCTGTGCTGTTAAACTCAACTCAAGAAGCCTCCAGTACACTGTTCGCGCCCACTTGGAGGCATGGCAACTATTCGACATGTGTGCATGGTGGTGTGCCCTAGTAACTTGGTTGCCTTAGGCCGGCCTCGAGGATCGGTTTACCGACTTCATCGTTGTGCAGTATCGCAGTTTCGCCATACGGGTTAGCAAAAGTCATGTGCATCAACTGATGTGTTCCACAGTGACGTATGGAGCGGGCAAAAAACTCAACGACTGAAGCACGCCCATTTGCCGTTGAGAGACAAGCGGTCCGACCACTGGAGCAGTTGGAAGATGGAGACGAAGTTTGGTCGTGGAATATTCTATGGATGAAGGAGCTGCAAGCTGCAATTCGGGTCGATTAAACTGAGGCGATTCGATGATGAAGAGGTGGACTGGTGATGAGAACCAATACGGTAATGCCCAGCTTGGGATATTCTCAACCACGCAGATGGGAGCTTGTTATTCAATGGGGCTGGAATGTGTACTTTACGAGATACCTGATTCTGCAGAGTAAAAACTGAACCTAGAAAATGGAATCACGCACTTTCTGGAGTTCTCATGTTAATTTTCAGGAACAAGAATCTACCTCGATGAGCAATCACCAAAACCAAGTGCAGTTCCTGACAAATAGCCGGCCGAGGTGAAATGAAATACCATTTTGCCGTTCGGATGCACACTGGTGAGCATAAAGTCGATCAGCAACCTACTGAAAAACTTACAGTAGTTTGGGGGCTGAGATGCACAGCGGAATTCGCAAGTGTGTTCTATCGGAAACATGGTTAGTTCAGTAGGGCAGACCATACCGCTCTCTCCACTGGTTTACATCTTTCGGTGGTCGATTCAGCGGCGCGTTTCATGCAATGGAGTCAGTGTAGGCGATAGGGGAATTTGTCGCTTATATGAAGAAAGCTTACTTGGTTGCAATAAGATGTCATCTCAAAGGTCTTAACATTAAGTTCTGTCCACCTACCACAACCTTCGCATTCTATCTGTAATAGCGAATTGACGTTGCAAAATATGGAATACGAAATCCCATTCACTCGGTACGGTTTCCTAAATCGGGCTGCATTTGCTGGGTTTAGTTACTCAATATACCCCAGAGTATATGTAGAATGTATATACTATATACATATATATATATATATACTATATCGTAGTGTATAAATGTACTGTACTACTATATAGAATATACTACACTATATATACCAAACTATACTACTACTATACTGTATATATAGTAGTATATATAGTATAGAAAAGCGAAACGAAAACAATAGGTACGGACTGCATGAATTTTTTTCATATTGGTAAAAGTACTTGAGTTCCATCACTCGGTAGAAAGTTCACAATTGACGATTGAGTTTAATGATTGGATGGTTCCTGTTGAGTGATCTTCGTTCACTGAATAGTCGTTCTCCCGAATTCCGTTGAGAATCATTGATGACTGTACACACTAGAGGTATAGGTCCTGTCTGGATAATGTCCGTTAGTGGAGGACATTGTACCATCGTTCATCTGGTTCGATTGTTGAACGATGACGTACCGTCTTGGCACACTCGATTTAGTGATTAGTTCCTCACTGAAACATCAGGGCGGAATTTAAGCTTCGATACCATTTGGGATAACATATGCCCCCCAAAAGTTACGATCAGTTAAGTCTGATAACTGGATACGGTAAAATGAAAACTCTATATCTAATGGCTTTGGCAGTCATCCAAGCCGACATAAACCTGTGAATGCTCTCGAAAGGCATTCTTATTTCGGATAGTCTACAGAATACCTCCTTTCGTGGAATCCCAGTAAGTTTGGGACGACTAATTTGCAGAAAAAATGAATTGATTCAGGCCGATCCTTCCTGGGGTGTACCTTGGCAAGTATAACTTCCAAGCATGGGTTATCTGACTCGGTCTTGAATAACCTTCGTTCATAACGTGTTGGTCTTAGTGTGGGAACCAGTCGAACATTGGTTCTGACCTCCCTACGTCACTGCACTGGACGCACATTGATTGTACGCTCGCTCGCTCTCCCCGTTTGCCATTCGCACGTTCAGCCTGAAAGTGTTGCACACGCACACACACAGCCGTCTCGCCAGACCTAACTGGCTATGCCACCATAACCTGATTTCATTGGTTCGTGCTCATGTCCAATCGGTGTTGTCTCTCATGCGCGTAGTGGTTGGACAGCAGATAGCAGCCAAAATGCATTCACAAGCCGTAAGTTGGGCTTATGGCTGTATAAAAGTAGAGCCATTGATTCGTTTACAAGTTAACTTGATGCTGGACCAAGGAAGATACTTCCTCATCTTGAATGGTGTTCCAAATGAAGCATGAAGCGGCCTTCGCAAATCACGTTTAGTTGTGGATTACTACATTAGAGGAAAGATTCGGCTGATATTCAGCTGGGTATCCCGTTAATACCAAGTTTTAGCTGCCGTTTATAGTGGTTAATGTTTGTTTGCCATGACATCCAAGATCAATACCAGCAAACCTAAGGTGTTATTAGGTGGTATAATTATCGAAACCAGTAATTAAATACTCGGCGGACTTCCATTTGTACACCTCATTCTACATTCCAAGGGGTGACGTATCCTTTGAGAAGTTTATTCGATTTTTCCAATTTGTTTGTTTTAATGTACGGTTTTGTGTTGAAATAACACAAATCTTGATCTAGCGGAAATTAGAATGACGCTTACCCGATCTGGAAAACGTGTTTGCTTTGAAGAAAGTTTTGATTGTTCTAATGACGTCGTATTATGATCAAAATAGAGGCGATTCCGTTAGATAGATAGAGAGGTTGCTCAGCTGTTGCACCCTTTCGGCGCCTTACTGCCATGCCACTCGAAGGGAGCACGAGGGTTGAGAAACTGCCAGGTTACCCAAGCCTAGACGGGAAGTCAAGAGGTCGGGGATTCGAACCACGAACCTTCCAGTCAGTAAATTTGCGCTCTAACCACTGAGCCCTCTCGCCCCCCCCCCCAATTCCGTTACAGTGCATACATTGCGATTTTAACACAGTTCAGCTCTGTAGTCCATTTCATTTGGTGTACGCTAACATTCCTCTTCCTTGAGGGACTACTACCATGACCCTTCTTAGGGATAGCTCTTCTTCGGAGGGACATTTTCTGCTAGGTTCTAACTGGCACAGAAAGCTACCGTAAACACTCCAAGGTAGTCAATGCTCCTTAGGAGCTCCTTTTTATCTTTCGGAAGCTACGATAGTGGAAATTTTCAAATATGGTGTTCTATTCAGTCATTAGACACGACTGGCCAGTTAAAAGTTAGTCATACTGGAGCGTCTTTTCCATCTGGCCGATGCAAAAAGCAGAAAGCAGGAATGATAAGATAATCTATGAATCATTTAGNATCTATGAATATTTAGGATGGAACCTGGCCGACAAATAATTGGGATTCTATTCGGCCGTTTAGTTGTCCAGTTTGTTGAAGGGTAACGTGGCTTCTGCTAAAGAGACGGCCGATCCGTTCTGATGAGGAATATTAGTCACGCTCACGCGTCGATCGGTAAATTTGTAAGACTAAATAACCTTACTAAAGTCATTCCCGTCTTTTGTATGCATGACGGACATTCGTCTACGGCGATAAGAAGATAGAACATGAGCTGGAAATCGTGAGGCTCACATCGCTGGGCCGTCAGTGTTGATAAAATCTTGTTTGTTGTATACATTTTGATCAAATTACTTACTTGTTACACATTAAACGTAACCATATATTTCAATTAGATAGAGAAATTTCTATCAACCTGCTTGTCGCTTATGAATATCTGAGGTCTCCAGATATCCTGGAAAAAATTATGCATGTATACTAGCGTAACGGCGCTACTACTGATTGGAGGCATGCGAGTAGTATGTTTTCTTCTTGTAAATTTGCTTTGCGTCTATTGAAAAGGGAGATCTGTTGCGGAGTTTTTGGAGTTTCTTTGTAGAATTTGCTTGGACTTGAGTTACAGTCAATGAATATCTGGGAAAGTTCAGGAAGACGAGTTCAAGAGAAGATGGGTGTTCAGTTTTTGTAAACAAGATGCATATGAAAGTTTGCTTCTCTGTCCAATAGTCTGTAACTGGTCAGTTGGCATTTCCTAATAAATAACTCCGCAGCGTGCGCCTTCTTCCTTCCACTAGGACTGCTGTTGGCCTGTTGTCATGTTCAGGTGCCGTTCAAGATCAACTGTGATGTCCTGTATCCTTGACCGAATATCAGCATTTGTGGATGCGTAAATATAATCAGTGCATTGTTTGTCAAATTAGTGAGAAAACAACTAACGAGGGCTATTTCCAAGGCGGGGCCTATGGCGTCGAGGTCAACAACACGAGGAAACTAGTGAATTAAGCACCAATGAGTGTATGAATGGGAATGGCCCACTGTCAAAAACGGATAGATAGAGTAAGTCAGGAAAGTTTCATGCACAGACAACACTATTAGAGCAACACTGTTTGGCCGGAAGCAGCCCACTCAATTGCGCACCGACGATTTCTCCTGACGTTTGCAAGCCAATTACCCAACTCGGCGAACAGATCGGCGGCCACCTGATCAACCACCAACATACCATCGGGGAGTGCGGTCTCCAGAGGACTTGAGATATTCATGTGGGGTGCCTGGTAATAGATGAAGCTGGAATTCGTATGATTTAATGGCTGCCCTGTTTCTGTGCTCTAAATACCGGTGAAAGTGTTATGACAAAAGCGAGAATTGAAAAATCTCCTTCCTACTTACAGCACTTTATAGTGCCAGTTCGCTAGCCAACATTTGTTGGGAAATCGACTTCAAATAAAGTTGTTTACTTCACAAACACGTGTCGATGTGTCTTTGAAAATCCAACGAGTTTCTACCAACCATAACTTCAAACCATACTTTATCAGGTCGGATCGGATGGGCACGCATGTTGTACCTACGTCTGTCACAACCGATGTCACTGTTCTGGAACAATGTGCCCGCGCTACGAGATACAAGAGACGGTATGAAAGCAGTGGGACGCTACAATCGGTTGGGTGAGGCACTGGTGGCCTACGAAGTTTTGATCTACCGAAACTGGAAAAGTCAAGTAAGGTGTTTTGCCCTCGGAGCTGTCTAATCCACTTGTTTAAACAGCCTCACCAAATGCAGGTGTACACGGAAACTCGGCCAACATTCAAGAGCAGGGGCATACGCAACCTGACATGGATGTAACATGTTACATTATTCTCCCAAGAAAGTGTATCCTCCAAATATCAAAGAGTTGTCTGAGCTTTAGAACAGACCCAGCAGTTCTCGTCCATCGTAGAAGAAACGCCATCCAGTTTACACGGTTGCAAATCAGTCTACACCTCGTGTCCTGGGCCACATATCAGCTCGCTTTTTGAAACATGTATAATTTACTGTGTAGATTTCTTTCGTGTGGCGCAACATATGCAATACCTGCGATAGATTGTTGCTATGAGTCTTATGCAAACGGTTGAGAGAAGCATGAATTTTGAACCACAAGTCGTGCAACTTGGTTTCAAGTAGAACACAAGGTTGACGGGAACCCGGGGACTGTGCTTACCTGATGAGCTCCAAAAAGGGCGAAACCGGTCGTGGACTGTCGACGGATTTCCAGCAACATTGTGAGTAGTACATTACAAAGATATAACTGTGAAAGCTTCAATATATACATATACATATATACAATACAAGGAGGTGTGCCATAGTTGGGAGAACGAGGCGCTTGGTGAAGAATCATCAGAGGAACAGCTGAAAATGTTCCGCTTTGCTTTGCAGTACATCATAGTCTATCCGTTCTCTCGTTCATCGTGCAATGTTGCACAACTAATTCATCAGTGTTCTCCACACCCAAGCCACGTATCATCAATGATGGTATTGGTGCCCAGGTGATGATAGCCGTAGTACAAATCAGAAGGTCTATGCACTAATAAAAGTTTTTGGCATGGTTGACAGTGGTGAGTTGCAACACGTATAAGGATAGAAGTAATGCGAAATGGTAGCAAGCCAAAAGAGGAACTTGTTGTCTGTGAGAGTTCCTTCGTGAAAGTCCGCACGGTGGAAACGTGTTTTCTCCGCAGTACGACTGCTACACGTGTCCCATAGTTGTCGTGGACTTGTGGAGAGTGGCTGACCTGCTCCCTGTGTGCGCGCGAGTCTGTGTGTGCTGTCTGTGTTCGGTTTCCCTATATGTAGGTTCGTTTGCTTGTACGTGGGTGTTAGCTACGCTCACTAGAAGGTACCGACAATCGATGTCCGATGAGTCACCTTGATGTGACGTGGTTTCCGAGTATGAAAAAAGACAAGTCTCGTGATCCAGTGAGCGGATGTGAGCTGAACAGTCAAGTATGTGGGTGACCGGGTAGCTACAATGGGCAGTGGCCTCAGAACGTGCTACATTCGGTATAAATACTAATGAGATACTCTCGTGAACTCTGCACAAAATTTGCCTTGCCATATGCCAGGCCAGAATGCAGCTCTAGTCTGAGAGGTTCGTTTTGTCTTAGGGCATTTCTGGGTATGGCATCCATATATTACAGATTTGTATCTTTTGCGGGAGGTTTGAAACGTAGCCCCCCACTAAAAATGAGGAGTCACCGTAAAGGAAACCACTCACAAAGTTGCTGAAAACTCTTCGACAGCTCATGACCGGTTTCGCCTTTCTTGGGGCTCATCAAATAGGTGCAGTCCCCGAGGTTCCGTCAATCTTATGCTTTACTTGAAACCAAATTGCATGAAATTAGCGAACTACACTCATTTGCAAACAATTTTGGTTTTGCAGGGGACTCCTTTGAAACCCAGCTGAATCTTTCGTTTGTGATGTGTCCGGCAGCCAGTCCCATTTGAGTTCAAGTATAACATAAGGTTGACGGAAACTCGATGACTGCGCCTACCTGTTGAGCCCCAAGAGAGGCAAAACTGGTCGTAGGGTGTCGAAGAGTTTTCAGCAACCTTGAGAGTAGTTTCCTTTATGGAAATATACTGTGGTATCTCGAATATCGTGCCATCTGAATCATGAGACGGCCTGTGTGAAGCACATTCAATTGAAGAACGCCATAAACGAGAGATCCACTTGAGTCTGCCGTGAAAACTAAATTGATTTGCAAATGAGTGTATTTGTCACGAAGAGTCACCATCTTACCGTTCCAGGCAAATAAAGGGTATGAAATGTTAGCGTGGCGACACTGATGCTGAGCTATTTTACTAGTTAAGAAAAGCTCATAAAGACGCCTTCTTTCATTCAGTTTGTTCATAGTAGTATTCATCATGTGTCGCTTGCGAATGTGAGCGTTGGTCTGATAATGGCACTTGATTTCTAATCTCAATAGGTCGAACGAAATGGTAAAGGGTGCGAGTTGATCACACTGTTGATCAGCCGCTTGTGGCAGAATAGCACAGTCCACAGCTTCCAGCCGGAAGGTCTCGGGTTCGAGACTTCCTGCTTTAGTTTGTTGAAGCACACGCTGTCGATGATTCTCATCAAGGATGAAGCAGATGTACAATGCTTCTCGGATTTCCAGCATAGGTGGGCAGCATTTACGCGAGCAGATCTTAAGTGAAATTTCTAATCTCCTCATACAACGAGCAACATATAGAATATTGAGATATTCTCCTCACCCAGAAATACTACTTTTATTTCTATTCCACCGAGGAAATTTCTGACAAAATACCTGAGAATTTCGGTGTTCTTTGTACTGAATACGGCATTTCTAGTCCAAGAAGAGGATTACTGTGTCGTTGAAATAGTTACAATTAGCTGGATTCTAAAAGTATTAGAGAAAAAGTAATACAGATGTAACGGTGGGTACTACTGACGGGGTTTGCGAGTAGTCTGCGGTCGTGTCGAAGCTCCGACCCGCGTCTAATAGAAGGTGAACTTTATTGCGGAACTTGGGGGAATGCTTTGCGATGTTCGTTTACACTTGCGTTGTAGTCAATGAGTATTCATGAACATTCGAGGAGACCCGTGAGTAAGTTCAGTTTTGAAAACCATACGCAAATGAGGCGTTTACTTCCCCGTACAGTAGCTTGTGACTGCTTAGTTGGTGTTTGCTAACAAATGACCTAACAGTGAACGGTTTTCCTCCTCTCACTGGTAATGCTAAAATGGCTACGGTTACTGAATAGTTGGCCGAGCCCAAGATGCTTTTTCTATGTATATTATCTTGTTTTTTTCTTGTGTTTTAGAGATTGAGCACGTACGCAAAAACTGGAATAAAAACTGATTCCTGCAGTCAACTATTATTGTACTCTTTTGAGCTATTCGTAAAGGCTAAGTGTGCGGAAATGGCTCAGGATTAACTCCTGTACTGGCGGGAATTCTATCCATATTTAAACCGACTTATCACTCGCCTATCGATTCGTTACAAAACATAACTGACACATTGATCAATATCCTGGTTACACTAACAACCAAATAACATGAGCTGGAAAAATCTCCAGCATTCATCATCTTTTAGCTGAAAATCTAGTGGGGGGCAATAGTCAACTTTATAATACCACAAGAAAGAAGGCCTTCCACAAAAGACCTGTTGAAAAGCAGGTCCCCTTCGGGTTGAACTAGTGCCGTACTAAGACACGTCAGTTTATATTATCGTTATGAAGTACCGGTCCTTTTAAGTCAACTTCAACTAATGTGATCGCACCTAGTTGGCACTTTTGGAGCCTGTAAGCTGATACTTTGTTAGTGTTGTGGACCACAGTCTCCTTCATGCCTTCTTATTACCGTGAACCTCGATCTGGATAGTCGATTGATAGCATGGTGCGCTTGGCCAAACCAGAAAAAGTCAATGAACGGGCGACCCGGCTAATCTATTGATCACTGTCGCATACAAGCGGGGCAAAATAAGTGATACTAAGACTACAACTCATCTGTCAAGGACGAGTAAAGAACAACCAATGAAATCTGTCCCAGCGAAAACGGCTATTCCATTGGCTGTTAGGTAGTCCCGTTACGTTCAGACATGGTTCTTCTAATAGTTAAAGAAAAAAACTCGCAGTTTAGGTTCCATTTGCTCTTGGAGAACTGTTCATTCGCTACATACATTTGTTCAAATTCTATTGATCGGTGGTGTCCATTAATTCAAATGTTTATTTTGGTAACGTGGTAGTGCTGCTGTTCTCCTCACCCATGACCACCGATCACCCTCATTTTCGCCTAGATAAAACACCTGATTCAAGGTACTGAAGCTCCCTTATTGGTGATAGTCAAAGAAGATAATAACGTCAGTGAGCTGATCAACTATGATGTGAACCTTCGAGCTTTGTTCCGTGAAATCGTTTGCATGGACCGGTTCAGTTGTCCAATTCCTGATCTGGCTCGGGCAATGCACTTTCGTTCCCACTTCCTAAAAACCCGAAGGAACAAATTACAAGTAGGTTTCGCTGGCCCAAATATTTTGCCTAAAGTCTCACGTCTGTAAAAACCAGAATTGTTGAACAAATTGGCCAAAAGGTCTTCACAACTCTGATCAACATTCGAGTTTATCAACCGCGTTTATTCCAAATGCGTTTAACCCTAACCTAGGCAAGGAATAAGAGGAGAGTTGAATTCAATCTGAAAAGACAGCTTGCTGTTCTGATACGCGTTAACGTCATCACCACGAACTGCAGTTAGACGACATTAAAATCTCATGTTTTTTTTCGCGCGAAGATAAGCCAACTTTGGTATATTCTAGAGCAAGTGGCTTTGTGAAGTTATTGATCACTAATCATACCTGATTGGCTCAAAATGAGCTGATTTCGAAGTGTAGTGGAATAAAACCCGGCCACAAACGTTCTCATATACTACTGAATTTTTGTGTTCGTAGAAGGTGCATATGTCAGCTCCTGATTTCAGGACTGCCCACCTTGATAACTCTAGGAGTTTGGCAAACAGATTAGACGGGGTGAGCAGGAGATGAGGAAACCTACGACAGTACTCAATGAATCAGATCTTCAAGTAGACTGATCCATCCATCAGCATAATCGATTTCATGAGAGGTATGGCCGTTTTCTTACTGTTCTTGCTGTTCGAGGCAAATTCAACAGTAATAAACAGGTGATTTACAAACACATTTGGGAGTAGTGATGACCAATACATGTCTATCTCCCGCATTCTCTCCGCAGTACATGTTATCACGTGTCAATTCCATGTTCAAGCGAATAACTCCGGAGTTGGAAAAACTGCTAACTGTACGGTTGTACAAATTTTATCGTCTCTACTACCGTGGCTTCTATGAACACGATTGGTACAGTGCCCTGGCTGATCAATGGATGCAGGTGAGAAGTGAATAAACTTGTTAATTCGTTCTCAGTTGAGTGTTTTTGTCCACCTGTCCTATCAACAATAAAGTAACAATCACCATACGTGCTTTGGGATGAATTTTTGAATTTTGATTTTTGAATATTCTACTTATTTACTTTTAAGCGACTACCCTCTTTGTCAGGATGAGACTGCTTCGAACAACAGCTGCCCACTGGCGATAAACGGCCACCAGATCCGCACTAGCTGCGGCCAAGTACTGATGCCACTGCAGATCAAGCTTCTCGTTAATTGCCTTTGCCAGCAGTGGGCCGCGTTTCTAATGTTTCTTTCCAAGAGTGACAATGTTGTCCTTGAAGTCGTGTAGTAGTAAAGACTTGTTTGAAAAATTCCGCATTGTCCATGCTCAGTAGGCGCCTGTGTGTATCAACAATGGAGGACCTGAGATGGGTCTAATGATTTATGACAACACCTCGGGATCTCTTCGTTCCACGTCCTAGTACAACCGTCCCAAAGTATCTGCACAAGCCCAAATTGATATAATTCTTTTACTGGTTCGTGAATAACACTAATTGATCGATTAGCACTGACTTAATATCACACTGAAAATTCGGAAACTCACGGAAGCAATAACAAAGCTAGTGATTTTGGTGATCTGTACAAAGCGCTTGTTTGCCTGCTTTTTCCCACACATGATACTCTGACAAACAGTCAACGAAAGGCCACAACAGCGTGAATGTCATTGAGGGGAACCGGTTAAAGTGCGAACTATTCGAAGGATCGCAAAAAGAACCTGCGCATACTCGAGTTTATGTTCGGTTGAGAATGCAAACGTCGCAGAAAATCTCCAAGTGTGTGATACCGTATCGCGGTGAGATAAGGAAATCCGTGCATTTCTGCATCGATGTACAGGTTGATCACCTGAAGCTGTGGTAAGGAGTGCTTGGTCGTAGAATTCGTTGCATACTAAATGAACATAAAGGAACTACCCGTGAAAGGAAGAAGGCCTTCGTTGCGGAGTTATTTATTCGGAAATGCCAACTGACCGGTTACAGACCATTGAACAAGGAACAAAACCTGGACACAGATCTTCTCCCGAACGAGTCTTCCTGGAGATTCATTGCCTCCAATCATTCGTCGGTCAAATAAAAGCAAATGTTACAAAGTGGCCCCGCGAATTCCGCAACAGAATTCCATTTTTCAATCGACGCAAAGCGAAATTCGACGAACAACACATACTACTCGTGTGCCTCCCGATCAGTAGTATCACCGTTACATCTGTACCACAATGCTGATAGCATATCAGGCAACAAACCCAGACTGCAATCCAAGTAAAGCGGAATTCGAAACCAATCAAACGGAACAAATGAATGACGCCGTCCAGGCAATTGTGTTTGTACGGGCAGAGAAGCATCAGTGTTTGAACACTGAGGGGCTGTCGATGATGAGAGATAAGAAAGATAAGTCATTTCCGAGTTTCTGACTACTCGGCTGTAATCGACAGTCGCGCAATTGACGTATTCGGGGAAGTGTAGTTGAGTGACGTGCGAAATCCCAAGCCAAGAATTGCGAAGTCTTATGATTTATCGATAAAATACGTTACTACACCCACAAAAATGCGTATACAAAAGAGATACAAGTCTCTACTTATGGGAGTTTTTGTCTAAACGGTTAATTTAAACGAATTGGTGCAAGTTCAAACAAAGCACGGAGAGAACGGCAAGTTGATGTGGATTAGCGGCAAAAGCGCGTGCAAAGCATGTGGTGACGCGAGTGGTCAAAGGCACGCATAAAAAATTGGTTCAAAATGTCAAGGGGCAAGAGTTCACGAGAAATCACGCGTGAATATCGAGTCCTTTAGGTAGGTACAGAAAACGTTAAGTTCAAGCAAAGGTTGTTTGATCGAGGGAAAGAGCCACAGTGGTCTTCTCTTTCATCTACTGCTGTGACTGGTTCTTCATCGTTTCATGGTGTACGGAGGCCAACCATTCCTAATAACCGAACATCACATCATTTGGACGGATGTGTCACATGCAGGACAAGGACCAAACGAAAGCGCGCTCTGATTGGTCAGAATGCCAGCCAATCCGGATCGAACATCTTTGACTCGACGCTTCTCGCCCCCTCACGGTGATTCTCGCACGACCTTGTGGAACACTGTCATTACCCTATAAATGCAGGTGTAGTGATACTCCTTTTGTCTCAATAAAGGGCTGTGTAGAGCTACCGTGCCTTTTGATATACCATAGTATGGAGCAGGAAGCCAAGGGACCAATACAGAGTTGCACTACCGTTCGGCAAGTCACAACACATGATGAGCCCAACAAATTAGATATCAAGAGTTCATGGCTCACATCTGCCCTACAGAAAGGAAACCTATTGGACTGAACCTAACTGCATAGGGTAAGAAAGCTGTTTTCATATGAAACCACAAGGAATACAGGTGGTGAGGCTCTCACAACTTCCCAAGAGGTTTACCAACATTTTATGAGAGCAGTTGAATAACACTGGTGGATCGCTGACCTGTGACACGATCCGGTTGTCCACTGATTAGATTTGAACGTAGCCCTCTGGGAGCGAAACTGCTCCCATGCTTGAATGACACAAATGTGTCATCTGAAGGTTGTTTCCTACGTGGTAAACTTTGACTGAGGGTCTCTGTTCCCAGATCGGGCGGTTGTCTAGATAATTGGCGTTCAAAACACTGGAAATGGGCCTACTCTTGGATAGGACATAGAGAATATATTATGGCCAGCGTACATCATGAATTGATGACAGACTCCATTCATTTTACTGATCCAATCCTTCGCCTTATCTATCCTTATCTTTACCCCCATCATTCATATGTCACTCATAGCATGGTAGCGAAAAAGTTTCCTTTCTAGAAATCGCAGTCATTTTATTTTGCAGGAAGTGGAATCAGAAGTGGACAGCTTGGAAAACCTGTTGACCCGCGCGCAGGATATACTAGACAACCAAATTTTGGCGGTCATTAACAAAATCGCAGAATATGCCCTAATCGAACTACCCAATCCGCCGGACACACAGGACGCCGATCAGGCCTCCGTGTTGAATGAGGACGTACTGTTCAATTCAAACTTTCTTGAACTGCCTTTTGGAGTGCGTGATCGAACCGGTGGCATTCAAAGAAGTCCATGGCCCAGTACTGCCTGGGACGTGTACGATCTGGTTCGTACGGTTCATCGACAGACAAGTCAGGGGGCTCAGGCATTGCAGACTATGTCTCAAAGTGTTCAAAATGCTGCTACACGCTATGTGAATATGTTGACCGAAGACTTTCATGACTACCTACAGCGTTTTGACCAAAATATGAGATCGGAAAATGAGTTCGACGAGGATGACGTGGGTGAGTGTCTCCTGTTTTTAATTTTGGACCTTCTCAGTGAATCTGACCTTTCGTTTCGTTCTTGGATTTGACTGTTTAGATAGGCAATTCCATCTTACGACATTGCTATTCTATCGCCGTTTGAACATGTTTTGCCCCACACGTGACCTGCTTGCATACAAAATAATTCCATCACATGTGTAATTTTGTGAACTGCGGCGTTTCAGTCAATGCGCTTCGGTAGAAGACAGTGGGAGATCCCTTGTAAGATTCATCAATCCTGGGGCGCGAGATAGCTCAGTGGTTAGAACACTAATTTACTGACCGGAAGGTCCGTGGTTCGAACCCGACCTCTGCCTCTCGACTTCCTCTGTCTATGCTTGGGCAACCTGCCAGTATCCGAGCCCTCGTAGAACCTTCGGGTGGCATCGCAGTTAGGCACCGGAAGGGTACTACAGCTGACCGATTTACATTTAAACGGTCAATCAGTAAGAAATAATCCTCAGTCGTGTGCCATTTCCTGAGTTGAATTCTAAGTACGGGAAAGGTGACCGTATACGATGTTCTCCTTTCCATGTAGTCGCCAGTATCGTATTTACTCACGAGTAATCCTGTGAAAAATAGTGTATATTCGGTCCGTTGTATTCTGGTCTCCAGCCTGGCATTACGCATTCATGCTTTGGTTAAAATGACTGAGGATCAACGACAGGAAAGTGACAAATAGTTTGTGAATTGGCCCTACTTGAAACAAGGGATCCTGGCCGACATTCATGCTTACTCTCACTCACTACCTACTGTATGTGGATTGTCCCATATGCAAAGGTCGAGTATGGCTGCCCAAACTGAACCGTGAATTGCATCAGAACATACTCTTACCGTAAGCTCCGTTTTGTCAGATCCACGTTCTGAGTGGCGGTTGCCGGTCAGCCGCTTCCGCACATTTACATACAAGGCTGATCAACTGGGATGTGTACAAGGTATCTTGACGCATATCACATCGTTGGACATGCTACGACAGTGTGATTGAGAGAGACGTTTGCACAGCAGCTAAGCGTGCCACTACCAACATTCTGACCACTAATCCCAGTGCTGACGACTATGGTGATGATCTTCATGTGACCTTGGATTCGAACAGCTGATCTTCCGATTGACAGAATGGTCACGTGCGCCTCAACGAGTATTGGTGAACGGTAAGTATTTGAGTCTGACAGACATGAAAGCCGAAACCCTAAACTATCTAGTGCACAGACTGATTCTGGGTATTAGTTAGCTCTCTCTTACCCACAATCTGCTAAGCGGCCAGTGAAAGGGTCCGTTAATGACGCACGAAGTGGTTACTTATCTGTCTCACACATCTGTTCTCGGAAAGAATCTGTGAACTAACACGGACTATGAGAGTCACGTGATCCTATCACTTGACAACCAGGCCCTATCAATGTCAGTGTCTCTTCAACTCCCGTCCGAATACGAAGTCTAGGCTAGTGAATCCTTGTGCTAGTAGTTTCCGAAGTGGCCAGGATATTTTCTGATAGACATAAACAACTTTCCCGGTTCTAATCGCTAAAATTTATTAGACAGGTCAGTGAGCAGACCGGTCATTCACGGTCAGGGTCGAGGCTGCTCTAAAGAGATTGAAGACCCTGGAATAGCTCGCTTGCTTTTTTGTAGTATTGAGTTGTGTAGTAGCCGGACGACTGTCGTGCCCATGGAGATTGCCGAGCTCCAGATCCCTCTGTCGAGTGCCAGATCATCCCACGATACACAATTACGATTTGTACAATTTATCACAATTCCACTCATAGAGGGTGGCCCAGTTGGGACAACGACGCTCCTTCTCTGAGGATGAAGGAGCGGCAGAAGTCAATACTATTATGTACGCCTCAACTTTTGGAAAGCGGGAGCTAATTCTGTAATATTCTGCCCCTCTGCACGCAAAATGATGAACATCCGTTAATAGACAACACAATTACCGTCCACAAAAATCACCGGGATAAAACGGAGTCCTCTAGTGGCGCCATTAAAACTGGTCTGAGCAATCGGACACAATAGCTGGTGGTAACCTTCGGAAATTTGTTTT